AAGGTGATGAAGATGGTGTCTGCACAACGTGGCCAGGCTGATGACTCTTCTACGCCCTTTGCTTGTTTTCCTGCGGACGATAGCAGTCCTGCACAGCGTGGCCAGGCTTTTGCAATGCAAGCACATGCGCAGTTTGGATCTTCTTTCCCATTCTTTTTGACTGATGCAGAGGGCTTCCCAAGGCTTGGTAGAAGCGTTCTCCGGTTTCTCAGGGATCTTCGCATTCTTGGGGAGGTGTGCAATAGTTCCCCTTCCCGAACCACGGTTAGGCCCCTTGCTTGAAGCAGTCTTTTTGAAAGCATCAAGTTTTTCATCTTCGTTCACGTCAGACTCAATGGCTGATGTAGAACAGCCCATATCGGAGTCCGGCTCCAGATCGTCATCTAGAGACCGATCATCCGCGTAGGACTGATCTTCAGCCTCCCAATGTTCATGCAGGGCAAGCTGGTTGCTGCTTCGATACTCGCTTGCGTTGTGATTTTCCACCTGCAGCGGGTGCCTTTTTACGCCTGGCGAGGTCCTTGGCCTCTAGGTTGACTAGATCCGTCATGAGCTCTCGCCAAGTGGTATGGTCTTTGAGTCCTAGCAGGGAGAGGTATTTTTTAGGTGCCACTCCCATGACTACATCCATGCAAGACACGTCAGTCATTCCCAGGTCGGGAGTGGTGAACAGACCAGTCAAGTGCTGTTCCAAAGCCTGCATGGAGGTCCTCCATGTTTGGCCCTTGAGGGCCTCAAGCTTCAGCCTTGCCTCGTGCTTATGTTGATACCGTGTGATGAGAAGGTCCTCAAGAGTGCGTACAGGAGTTGCTTTCAGCCAATCAGTCAGGTCAATTCTCTCATAACCTGTTGTAACAGCTTGGAGTTCAATGAAATTCCGTACGGCGGGCTCGGTATTAGTGCCCATGATCATGCTTCGGTCTTCCTGCGGTGTGCGCAGTACCTCGAAGTATGAGCGCATGGAGCTAATCCAAGAGGTAATGTCCCCTTTCCCGTCATACTTGGACGACAGAGTGGCCGCCCGCTTGTCCACTACGGGACCGCTGTACTGTACGCCAATAAGAACTACGGCGTTTTGGGCTGATGTCCCTGCATTTGGGACTATGACTAGTGCAGAACTGCCGGCACCGCCGCTTGAGGAGCTGGCACCGGTTCCTGCGCTCGTCACAGTTCCAATTGCTCTTGTCGTGAGGACTGTGCTAGATTGAGAGACTGGGACTGCAGCAGGTCGAGGGTTAGGAGGACGAGGGGCAGACAGTTGGGACTGTTTAAGGCTGAGTATCTCAGCCTGCAGCTCTTGGTTCCGCTGCTCCAGTGCTGTCACACGAGACTCAAGGTCTTCCAGGGTCCGCAGTCGAACCAAGGCTGCTACGGCAGCAGCTAACCTTTCTTGGAACCAGTCAGCATTAGCTTCCGGGACCTGCAGGAGGGCCACCTGATCAGCAATGCTTGTGGCTCTGGCTGCTGCCTCTGCCTCTCTCTCCCTCTGCATGACATCGTCATAAAGCTTTTGGAAGAAGGGTTTCTCGTTCTCGTCCGCTGCGTCCAGCATGGCCTGCCATTGGGCGGATGTGATGTCCGCCATGCCGGAGGAAGGGGTGTTAGTAGATCTCTCAAGAGGGTTCCGCTCTGTCCTAATGTTTGGACGAACACTCCTCTTGCCCTTCCTCACACTCTCAAACAGAACACCTTCTCTCTCCCTTCTCTCTCTTCCCGCTGTCTGCGCACGTGTCTCAATACCGGACATAGATGTTCAGATGAAAGAAACAATCAGTAAATCACACGGAGTAGAAGGTAGAACTCCTAGACGGAGCGGCAATTCATTTGGACTTGGAGAATGGCACGCAGCAGAATAAAGAAAATAATAATAATAAAAATAAAAATAAAAGGAAGAGAGGACTGACTTATCGAACGGGACGATCAGATTAGCTGGAGATCCCCTCTTGTCTAACCTGACAAGGTACATGTACCACAATAAATCAGCCGAAGAAAACTAATTGCAGCAATGGAGATTTCGAGGGGTGCAGATGGTCGCCGAGCCAGACGCGGGGCAGTATGTGATAACATGGAGTAAGACCAGTCAAGATCCCCTTGAAAGGAATGCCCTTGCTAGCCGTATGTCTCCAAAGTTCAGCACAGCAAAGAGAAGCACTGGCGGCAACAGATTTGGGCCCAAAAGGTCCTGTCCCGTTGGGCCTGGTCCCACTGAGTCCCAAAGGTCCCAAGTAGGTCGTGGACCAGGACCAACGAGATAGGTGTACCAAGTCAGTCCCAAACTGCCTCTACCGTACTCAAAAGGAAAAGACGACTTTCAGCAAGAACTTACCCCTACAGCCATTCAGAAATGAAAAGACATTGCACCGTAGAAAGATATACCACTTAGAACAGATACATCACCCATCCATCCATCAGGTGAAAAAGCAATCCACATGCTCACACACAGCCAAGACCGCAGAGAAGAGGAAGAGAGCCCAGCACACCCCAACAGGCCATGAAGCACCAAGCAACCTCCCACGGGCTAACCAGGTCACACGGCACTTACATGTGAGGCCCGGCCTCCAAAGATGGATAACGACTCACCCCCCTCTCTCATAAGTCCTCCTGACCCCTAGCTACCACTGCACGAAGTGTCCTAGCATGACTAAGAGGGCCATCCTACACCCCTGTTGCAACGCCGGATCCCCCGCCGATGTCTGAAGACCAAAGTAGCAACTTGCAGCTCTCCGATCCAGATATGGCAGCCTCCGATCAAGTCTCCCTCTTGAAGTGCAGATTCCAGGTGTGAGTACCTCTCACTCTCTACTCCCTCTCGCTCACTCCAATCAGCCTCCTTTGTGTCTCGCCACCCCATTCAATCACTCAAGCAACCTGGTAAGGTCTGATGTTGACCCTACATGACCTAACCAAGTGGGGGCAGTATCCAGATACCTCACTGCCCCACGTAATGCTAACTTCCTAACCCTAATCCAAGATTAGGCTAGCCCTAACCTAATTCGGAATTAGGTTTAGGGTGACTAACACCTCTCGCCAGCAAGTAAGTTCGCTCCGATGCCAATTGTTACAATCCTGGTCATTTCCCAAGTGCAAACTCACAATGAAAGACAATGCCACCCAATTACGAAAGAAATGAAAGCACTTGCAAAGAGATAAAGGCCAGAGGAGAGAGAAAAAAGGAGAAGAAGAAGAAGAAGAAGATGAACACCAGCAAGACCAATGACAATTCCCCCTTCTCTCTCCACCTTCCTCCTCCTCCTCCACTTCGCCAATCTTATTCTTCTCCCAATAATAATAATAAGTGGATGAACCAGAATCAATATCCAAAGTTCCCTCTTACTGCTGACTCAACTCAACAACAACCACAACAACAAGTCCACCATAGCTATGGCTTCCCTCCTTCAGCCTCCTCTCTCATGCATAGGCTATGACGGACTAATGAGGGCCTTGCCCTGATGTCCAAAGGACAACCCAAAGCAGATATGCCGCTGCTGACTGGTCCGCCATGCCTGACTCTGCCTCGAGCTTCCTTGGTGCAGCACTACCCCAACTGGGGCCTTCCAGATGCAGCGTGCAACAAGGTGATGAAGATGGTGTCTACCATAGCCAGGTAAGTGCCTCGCCACTCTCCTCCTTCGCCCCCTTCTTCCTCCTCCTCAAGCTGGACTGCTTGTTATAGCCAGGCTGAGCTCCAGCTGCCCTTCACCTCCAAGCAGCGCTGTACTAGTCCAGCGCTGTGCTCCAGCAGCATATCGCCAATCCTTGCACACCGCAAATGAGGAGGAGCTACTTGCTCCTCCGAAAGATATAGCGGCCAACTGGCCTCCTGGGCGGTGACTTCCTAGGCCGAGCGGCCTCCCAGCAACCGGTACCTCCTCCCTTTCGGAGGGAAACATCATTGCAGGCTCTGCTATCCTCCGGGCAGGCCCTAGACTCGGGCTACTTGGACTGGTACCGCCCTACCTCTAGCCTACCGCTACGGGGCCTCTAAAAATGCCAACTTTTTGTCTTCTGCTCGGCCTCCAGTACCCGACACTTCTACCACTACTTCAGTGGTACCGGCCTACCTGCTACTTGAGTGTTTTTCCCCTCTGCTCTAAGTGCTGCGGGCCTACCCCCGCTACTCGAGTGTTTTCCCCCTGCAACCCTTCACAGTCACGGCCACAGGTAAGTACCGGCCCTGCTGGGCCTTCAACCAACAAGTACCCTTGCGGGTCACACACACACTCAACCGACAAGCACTCAGACAGGCATGCAAACCAGCAGGCACGCACACACACACAGACATTGAAATCACAGCAGAATGCGGGAATTTCAGCAAGCAACAAATCCCAGAAATCAGCAGTGTTCTCAGTCTGTGTTTTTGGCTGGTCATTACATTTTTTTGCACTTTTTGATATTTTTTTTCTGGAATCTACGGGTGACTGGTGGTTTAAGCATTATGTGCGTACGTGGTCTTGGGACTTGGGAGTTGAGGTTTGCCCTGAAGAATCCACCTGGAAGTTGAATGTGGAAACTCGAGTAGAATCTAATCCTGTAGTCTACAGGATTGTTGGGTGTCATTGGTCTCTGGGACAAAGAACTTGTGTTATATCACAGATGGTTCTAAGAAAGACGGCTGAATGCAAAGCCACGTTTGGATCTTCTGACTGCAAATTGGGTAGTTGTCAATGATATCCCGTGTACCAAAGCACTAGTGTGCTCTTTTGTCCTCACTGGTAAAGAGATTTGTAATCTTTTGCTGTATGGCAGTGGCTGGTTATCGATTTTCATACGTTTGTCTGTACATGGTGCTGGTATTGTTTACAATTCTCTCATACGTTTGTCTGTACATGGTGCTGGTATTGTTTACAGTTCTCGAAGCTAGTTACAAAATGATTTCGGTTGGCTATGCCCATTGCCCGCCATTCATTTCGTCTTTCACAAATTTGTCATTGTGTGGCCGGTGGCATGGCTCTGAACTGCTTAGCATAAAGGTTGTGAATCCCTCTCTGCCTTTCTTGTAGGCGTTGACCGATGTGAATACGATGGAGGAAGCAAAGGTCATCCTAGACACGCTCTTTGGAGCACGCTCTCGGCTTCTCTACACTCTGCAGGTAATAGGTCGGCAGGATAAGGTGGCAATGTTGGCATGCATTCGGGTCCTGCTGAACGATGTCCGATTTGTTGGCTTTTCTGATACCCAATTATTGTTATCAGAAGTTGAATTTTTCCATTTGTCTATCATCATCAGATATCGGTATGAAATCCGAAATTGTCTGGCTGGGCCCAGTATTCAGTCTCGGTTAGCAATAGAAGTGATGCTACGACTTCGTGCTCTGCCCTTGGTCAGTCTGTTTGTTACCAATGTTCTCTGTTTCTCTTCCCTTCAATCCCTTCCAAGCCTCTGGATCTGTTGCTATCTGGCAAGTTTTTGCTTCCTCAATTTTAACACGTGTTGAAGCACACCCCTGGCTTCTCCATCATGAGGCGGTCATGTTCGCTTATATCATGCTATAACTTTAAGTACCATTGGTCCTGGCTTTGGTCAGACTGTTCGTTCATTGCTCCTGGCTTTGGTCGGTTCTGATGGTTACCCATTCTGCTTTATTTTGGCTCACAAGTCCAATTGTGTTGTGCTGGGAAGCGTTTCCTGCTCTCTGGAATGCTTTTGCTTCTTGAACTTGTGAATTGGTGCGTAGCTAATGACCACTTTTTGGTTTCAGAATGAAATCCAGTTTCTAATCGCTTATCCCTTGAACGAGGAATTGAAGCTGTCCCTTACAAAGCATGCTTATCCTATACACGAAAATAAAAATGATCATAAATTCAATGCACACGAAGTGGGAGAGCAACATGCAAATGTGCAGGGAACCGCGCATAGAGCACTCGCCTGCTTTCATGTGTGGTGTGTGTACACCAGAAATCAGAAAATTTTGAATCGAAAGGCCTGCCAATTTTAACTTTTCCGGCAGGTTTGCATGCCTGCCAACCGCTGACCCCGACCACCGACAGTTTTGCAGCCGACTAGTGGGGCCTACTGGTCGGCAGTCTGCCAACCAGTCAGAAAACAGCCATCCACTGATTTTTTTTCAAATCTGACTTAGGGGCTGTACTGCACGTGCTGAGTAATGGGGTATTGCGGGTGGCTGAGGTAGCCAGACGTTCCCCTCCCTTCTACAGATTTTAATGGCAGAGAAAAAAAAATTAGGGCTCATTGCGTATAGCTTTTTTTCTGAAGGGCCCACAGCAGAGAATCTGCAGGGCTCTTATATCTGCGCATAGACACTCTACGAATTTCAGATGAGTGAGGAGCAGGCCAGAAATATATCTTCTGGATCCGAATTCAGGTCTGTGTTCCAGCAGTTATGGGCTACAAGCAAGGCTGGGCCGGCAACCGGCCGGTTCACCTCCCCCGGTCCACCCGGATCCGGACCAGCCCAGGGGGGCTGAACCGGAAAACCGGTTTTCAAAAAAAATGCCCAGGATTTTTTTTTTTTTTTTTTTTTTTTTTTT